TCCCACCCCTCTAGGTGGTCACAAAGCACTGAGCTGACCTCCCTGTGCTATGCGGCTACTTCCCCTAGCTATCTATTTTACGTTTGGTAGTGTATATATGTCCATGCCACTGTCTTGCTTTGTCACAGCTTACCCTTCCCCCTCTCCATATCCTCAACTCCATGCTCTAGTAGGTCTGTGTCTTTATTCCCGTCTTACCCCTAGGTTCTTCATGACCTTTTTTTCTTAGATTCCATATATATGTGTTATCATACGGTATTTGTCTTTCTTCTGACTTACTTCACTCTGTATGACAGACTCTCGGTCCATCCACCTCACTACAAATAACTCGATTTCGTTTCTTTTTATGGCTGAGTAATATTCCATTGTATATATGTGCCACATCTTCTTTATGCATTCATCTGATGATGGACACTTAGGTTGTTTCCATCTCCGGGCTATTGTAAATAGAGCTGCAATGAACATTTTGGTACATGACTCTTTTTGAATTATGGTTTTCTCAGGGTATATGCCCAGTAGTGGGATTGCTGGGTCATATGGTAGTTCTATTTGTAGTTTTTTAAGGAACCTCCGTACTGTTCTCCATAGTGGCTGTACCAATTCACATTCCCACCAGCAGTGCAAGAGTGTTCCCTTTTCTCCACACCCTCTCCAGCATTTATTGTTTCTAGATTTTTTGATGATGGCCATTCTGACTGGTGTGAGATGATATCTCATTGTAGTTTTGATTTGCATTTCTCTAATGATTAATGATGTTGAGCATTCTTTCATGTGTTTGTTGGCAATCTGTATATCTTCTTTGGAGAAATGTCTATTTAGGTCTTCTGCCCATTTTTGGATTGGGTTGTTTGTTTTTTTGTTATTGAGCTGCATGAGCTGCTTGTAAATTTTGGAGATTAATCCTTTGTCAGTTGCTTCATTTGCAAATATTTTCTCCCATTCTGAGGGTTGTCTTTTGGTCATGTTTATGGTTTCCTTTGCTGTGCAAAAGCTTTTAAGTTTCATTAGGTCCCATTTGTTTATTTTTGTTTTTATTTCCATTTCTCTAGGAGGTGGGTCAAAAAGGATCTTGCTGTGAGTGTTCTGCCTATGTTTTCCTCTAAGAGTTTGATAGTTTCTGGCCTTACATTTAGGTCTTTAATACATTTTGAGTTTATTTTTGTATATGGTGTTAGGGAGTGATCTAACCTCATACTTTTACATGTAGCTGTCCAGTTTTCCCAGCACCACTTATTGAAGAGGCTGTCTTTTCTCCACTGTATATTCTTGCCTCCTTTATCAAAGATAACGTGACCATATGTGCATGGGTTTATCTCTGGGCTTTCTATCCTGTTCCATTGATCTATATTTCTGTTTTACAAAACTTCTTAAAAGGAAGAAAAAAACTATTACAGTCAGGTATCATAGCTTTAAAAAAGTTATGTCTAGTTTTAATATAAATACATAATTTTGAATTATTTTTTAAAATAATTATTCCATATCTGTGGGTGGTGCCTGGCACAGCTGAGTTCCCTTGGAATGCAGTTTTAAGAAATGCCGCCCTATGGAAAATTACCGAGGCCCTCCAAGCCCTACAGCATCATGGATGGCAAAGCTCCTAGGACCTTCCGCCACTGTTTACTGCCATTCTTTGCTGAAACTCTGGCTTCTCATTGCTAAACTGGATTTCCAAAAGCTTTGAAATGGGGGATGGTGTGCAAGGTGGGGATGTTGCCCTAGTGTGACTGTTTCAGTAATTGGAACTGTATATTTCCCATTACATCTCATTTATTGGCATTCTGGGTTTTGTGTGTTTAAATGGCATAAGTTGGTTTCTCAGAGTACTGACTTCCCTTCTGATCTCAGAGGTGAAGTTGGCACGCCCTAACCCTCAGGGCCCTTCCTTTCCATCTGCAATCGTTCCTTGGGTAGTTGTTTTTAACTTTTAAAAAATTTAAGTAATTCTAACAACCATTCAACCCCACCCATCTAACAAATCAGTTACCTTCATCTTTTCATATTAATTAAAATAATTTTTCAGCCCATAGCCAGAGACCATGTTTTAGGCTTAATCACCAACCTGCAATCTAAATATTGACTATCTGTGCCAAATATTTTAAAGTAGGGACTATTCAGGACAGGTAGGTATCTGATAATAAACAAATTCAACCAATTTGTATCTCCTGCAACTCTGTCAGGCACTCCATGACAAGCCCAAAGGGTTTTATTTAGTAGTCTGGGATGTGGTTTTGGAACCCATATTTTTAAAAAACCACCTCTATTGATTGTGATCACATTGTTCCAGATAGCAATCTCCAATATAAGTCTGCATCACGATCACCTGGGGCATGCTTTAAAAATGTGGATTCCTGGGATCCAACCTCAGAGATTCAGATCCTGTTAGGAAACCAAAATTGAGGCTCATGAAACAATCAAAACAATTAAATGCCAAATGGATCAGAGGCAGTTAATAAATATTGCTTGTTTGATTCAGCTGCCTAATGTGGTAGGAATTTGGTGTGAGCTGGAGATGTCCTGAACTTTGCGGAAGAGGTGGGCCTTATGCTTAGTGGGGGAAGGGATTTAGACACAGACTGAGCAGAGCAGGGGAAGGCATTTGTTCACTGAAGTGTGGGAGGAGCAGAGGCTGAGCACATGTGCAAAGGCACACAGGAGTTGGGTGGAGGTGGAACTGAGAGATGAGTGTGACTGTACAAGATGTACAGATTTATGTGTTTGTTCTTTACCCTGTGTGTTCAGAGAGGAGTTGGAGTGGTGTGTAATAAATGTCAGATATCAGATATGTGGGCTCTTCTGCTGAGATGTCTCTTTGCTCCTGATCAGTAACTATGAGTGGCTGATAGAATTGACTGGAAGGGTGCCTCCCCCTTCCTTCTCTTCCTTCCATTTGGGTTCCTCATAAGGGTAGAACTCACTTGAGAAATATCACCTCTCATAGCGGAGATTGAGCTCCAAGCACATTGTTATGGTTCATGTTTTGATTTTTAACAAATGTGGGTTTCGTAGGGAAGTGGAATTAATAATGTATTACTTGTTTTATTCATTCAGCTGGGTCATTAGTCTGGGCTTTGGTTCCTGCCCTGAAGGAACCCCATCTTCTACTTAGAGAAACAGAATTACAATGGCAGTGATGGAGTCTTACCCAGATTGCCAGGCCAAGCACAAAGGAGCTAATCCAACTTAGAGGCATCAGGGTCCTGAAAGCCTTCACACGGGAGTATCTGAGCAGAATCTGAAGATTGAGTAGGAGTTGGCCAGGTGAGGAGAAAGCATATGCAAAGTCACATTTGCAGTAGACAGCATGGCATGATTAGAGTTGCAAAGAGTTTGGTCCAGTGGGAGCTCAGGATGCCTGAAGCGAAGTGAGGCAGAGAGGTCTATGCAGGAGCCAGATTTTGATGTGCTTTATAGGCCATGCTAAAGGGTTTGAATTTTGTTGTGAAGGCAATAGGGAGCTGCCAGAGGATTTTAAGCAGTGTTACTTTGTGTTCAGTGTGGCTGCAGTATGAATGATGGATTGAAGAGGGCGAGGCCAGAATTGGAGAGGCAAGAAATGAAAGCCTGGTCTTGAGCAGAAGGTGGGAATAGAGAGAAAGGGACAGATGTGGAAATTTTAGAAGGCAGGTTCAAAAGCAGTTGGTGGCCACTTGAGGTTTGGCAGAGGAGGAAGAAGTCCTGACTGAGTGGATAGTGCTGTCTTACCCTGAGGTTGGGATTTGGGAGAAAGCTCAGTTTGGTGGGGAAGATGATGAGTTCATTTACAGAATATATTGACTTTGAGTTGTTTGTAGGACATCCAAGTGGAAATGTCTGGAGGGCTCTTAGTGAGTCTGGAATTCAGGAAGGTATGGGCTAGATGTTGGTGTAAATGGGAAAAGAGAACTTGCACGTTGTGGTACTAGGTTAATTTCATCTCCAAAATATTTCTCAAAGCAATCACTACTTTCTACCTCTTCTGTTCTCTCCTTAGTTGAAGCTACTATTATCTTCTAACTGGTCTGCCTAATTCTACATCAGTGCAACAGCAGGTGGAGTGGTCTTTTAAAAATGAGATGGTCTTTTAAAAATGACATGGTCATTTCCCTGCTTAAAACCCATCATCACTGATATCCCATTGCCCTTAGAATAGAATTCAAACTTTTTACCATGGTACAGGGCCCCATGTGACCTGGCCCCGGCCTGCCTACCAGCCTCCCCACACTCATTTTGAACCATTCTTCTCCCTCGTTTGACCACACTGTCACTTCAAGGCCACAGATTCCTCTTCTGTCTTCTTGTATGCCGTTTTTCTCTTTTCCCAACCTTTCCCCCACTCTTGACCTGACCAGTCCTCGTCTTTCAGGTCTCACCTCAGGTAACATTTTTCAGAGGAACCTTCCTTGATCTCCTGAGCTACATTAGAGCCATCCTGCATTTTTCTTTCCTAGCACTTAATACAATTTGTTATTAGTTACTCATGTGTTTATTTGGTATCTGTCTCTCGTACAAGCTCTGTGAGGGCAAAATCCATCCTGTGTTTTGTTTACCATTGTACCTCCAGTGCCGGACAGTCTGAGCACATAATAGCACTCCCTGAATATTGGTTAGATTTGTTGAATGAATGAGGGTCATTGTCTTCATTTTCTATCTTGAAAAACTTGTAATTTTTATGCTGTCCCCAAATAAATAGGACTGTGCGATTCAAGCTTTACAACACATGTAGCTGATTTCATCTACTTTTGAGAGTCTATTCCATTTTTAACTGTTATTAAATACTCTTTTCCTCTGAGAGGTTAGGACATTAAAATTACAAATCAAATCTTAAGGGTTTTTTTCCTCCCTGTTGCCTGCATTCATTATGGTGACTGGTTAGTCTGACAGTGATGTGGCTGCTGAGTTTTGAAATTGGAAAAACTGGTACTTGTTCCCTTGAGCTGGGCATTTGTGACAGAGTTTAATAGCAGCCTTCTCCTGCAACCCTGATTTGAGATGCATCCCAATACATGCTGTTTGCATTGCAGCTGTGGGAAAATCCACCTTTGTGAAGTTACTCATGAAAACTTACCCAGAGTGGCACGTAGCTACAGAACCTGTAGCAACATGGCAGAATGTCCAGGCTGCTGGCACCCAAAACGTAAGTTTTCAGTTGTGGTGGGTAGTTGGCAGGCATAGGTAAATAAACTAATTGTAATAATCTCATTTGCTCTGAGTAGGTGAAGTAGTCCAGTTTGAATCTCCTTTTTAAAATATCACCACCTTCATTGCCTAAAGCGACCATGTACACCAGAGAGGATATGACTTGTTTGAATATGTTTAGTTTTGATTTTCGTGGTTTCTACATGTCTATATAAGTGACTGTCTCTGTTCTTTGTGGTTTCCCAAAGCATGTCCAGCCATCCTGGCTTTGAAGATTAATTTTGTCGTTCCTACCTTTAAGTATATTACTGAAACTGACCATAAGGATTAGTAGTTAATTATAATGATTTTAACTTACTGATGAAGTCTTAGAAATTGAAAGGGACCTTAGAGAGCATCTTGTCACATTTTGAGTCAATGCAGAAATAATAGCTAACGTTTATATAAAGTGCATACTATGTACAATGCTATCCCAAGCACTGTACATTCCATGTATGCCTCGTGGCTTAAGCCCTAGTGTCAGGTATGTTGCTTTGGGAGAGCACCAAACCACCAGCCACATCAGTGAGTAGGGAAGAACCGATTTGAACGTGAACACTAGAGGTAGCTGAGGGAGTAGCAGCACCATGCCTTAGTCTCCACAGACTCCTGTAGTCCTGGGAACATTCACTGAGTGCATCATTCTTGTTTTTACAACCTATTGTTAGAAAGTTCTTGTATTAGCCACTTGGCATACCTGTGACTCTGACTCATTGGTTCAAATTCTGCCTGTTAAGTCTTTTAACTTTTCCATATGGCAACCCTTCATACATTTCTAAGGCAATGATTTGCCTGCTTTTTCTCCCCCTCAAGCCTTCTCTCTTTGAAACCAAATACCATTTTCCTCCAGACTATTTCTCATGCTGAAGTAACTTTGTCTAGGAGATGTGCTCCAGTTTGTTAGTTTTCCACCTAGATTTTAGTAAGAGTGGTACTCAGAGCTGAACAGGACATTCTGGATGTAGTCTAAATGGTATAGAATATCGTAGAACTTGCTCTGGGTGCCATTTATGTGTTATTCCAACTTAGGATTGTGTTACCTTTTTTGGCAGACAAATAAAATACTTATTGAGGATATTTGTTTTTTAAACTGTCTCCATATGTGTATATGTATATGTGTGCATGCATGTGTGTATTTGTGAATTAACTTTTCCATTTAGAAAATAAATTATCTTTTTCTGAGTATGCCACAGGTCACCTGTTTTGGGGATTTAAAAATATATCCACAAATCGTTTGATACTGTTTTTCCTTCAAGAAGTGGACCTTAATTCTCCCCTTGAGTGTGACCTGGACTTAGTGACTTGCTTCTAATGAATACAGTGTAGCAGGTTTAACAGTGTGTGACTTTTTATGGTAGGTCATAAAAGACATTGTATCTTCCATCTTGTTCTGTCTTGATCATTTGGCTCTGGTGTTGCCAGCTGCCATATAATGCAGCATACCTGTCTGTGAAGAGGCCCATCCAGCAAGGGACTGAGTCCTCCTGCCAGCAGCCTTCTGAGTGAGTCTTGGAAGCAGATCCTTCAATCCCCAGTCAGGTCATCAGATGACTGTAGCCTCAGCCAATGACGTGACTGAAATCTCATGGAAAACCTTGAGGCAGAACCACCCAGCTAAGCTGTGTCCCAAATTCCTTTCCAACAGAAATGGATTTAATGAATGTTTTTTGTTTAAACCACTAAATTTTGTCAAAACTTAGATAACTAATACTCTCATAATCCCCATTATCCAGTGGTAAAACAGTTAACATTTTTGTCCTTTTAGATTTCTATCTACAAAGGAGAAAATGTATATATTTACATACACTTATATAAATGTATAGAACATATATACATTTCCTCTTTTAAAACAAAAATTGTGATTGTCACTTGCGTGTCACTTGATATCCAAGGTATTCTTCCTTTTACCTTTACAAGATAATGTCATTTTAATGGTTGCTATATGCTGCATAATATGGTGTACTATCATTTAGTTTTTCAGTCTTTTATTTTGAATACTTAGTTTTCTAATTTCCCCCTATTATAAACAATGTCACAATGATGAATATTTTTGTAGTCTATATCTTTTTTCTTTTTAATAGCTAATTTTGAGGGTAATCTAGAACTGGAATTTGATGTCGAAAAACAACATGTTTTGTTGAGACTTTTGTTATATTTTATAAAATTTTCCTTCAGAAAAGTTGTACTATTTTTCTCATACTTTCAGCAACACTGGGTGTTATTTTTTTTTCATCCTTTCTGATTTGAGAGGCAAGAAAATGAATGGTGTGTTATTTTATTTTACATTTCTTTGATTACCAGTGAATTGAACTTTTTAATGTTTATTGGCCATTTATTAGTATTCTTTAGTGAATTGCCTATTCAAACCTCTTGCTTTTTTTTTTTTCTCTATTGAGATCTTCAGGTTTTTGTAATGGCTTCATAAGAACTTGTATGTTAAATATCGTAGACATCAATTACAGGAAAAAATCTATAAAAAATACAAACACGGGCTTCCCTGGTGGCACAGTGGTTGAGAGTATGCCCGCCGATGCAGGGGACGCAGTTTGTGCCCCAGTCCGGGAGGATCCCCATGCCGTGGAGCGGCTGGGCCCGTGAGCCGTGGCCGCTGAGCCTGCACATCCAGAGCCTGTGCTCGAGCCTGCACATCCGGAGCCAGTGCTCTGCAACAGGAGAGGCCGCAACAGTGAGAGGCCCACGTACCGGAAAAAAAAAAAACACATGGAGGCTAAACATTACACTACTTAATAACCAAGAGATCACTGAAGAAATCAAAGAGAAAATTTAAAAATACATAGAAACAGATGACAATGAAAACACAATGACCCAAAACCTATGGGATGCAGCAAAAGCAGTTCTAAGAGGGAAGTTTATAGCAATACAATCCTACCTTAAGAAACAAAAAACATCTCAAATAAACAACCTAACCTTACACCTAAAGCAATTGGAGAAAGAAGAACAAAAAAACCCCAAAGTCAGCAGAAGGAAAGAAATCATAAAGATCAGATCAGAAATAAATGAAAAAGAAATGAAGGAAACGATAGCAAAGATCAATAAAACTAAAAGCTGGTTCTTTGAGAAGATAAACAAAATTGATAAACCATTAGCCAGACTCATCAAGAAAAAAAGGGAGAAGACTCAAATCAATAGAATTAGAAATGAAAAAGGAGAAGTAACAACTGACACTGCAGAAATACAAAGGATCATGAGAGATTACTACAAGCAACTCTGTGCCAATAAAATGGACAACCTGGAAGAAATGGACGAATTCTTAGAAATGCACAACCTGCTGAGACTGAAGCAGGAAGAAACAGAAAATATGAACAGACCAATCACAAGCACTGAAATTAAAACTGATTAAAAATCTTCCAACAAACAAAAACCCAGGACCAGATGGCTTCACAGGCGAATTCTATCAAACATTTAGAGAAGAGCTAACACCTATCCTTCTCAAACTCTTCCAAAATATAGCAGAGGGAGGAACACTCCCAAACTCATTCTACAAGGCCACCATCACCCTGATACCAAAACCAGACAAGGATGTCACAAAGAAAGAAAACTACAGGCCAATATCACTGATGAACATAGATGCAAAAATCCTCAACACAATACTTAGCAAACAGAATCCAACAGCACATTAAACGGATCATACACCATGATCAAGTGGGGTTTATCCAGGAATGCAAGGATTCTTCAATATACGCAAATCTATCAATGTGATTAACCATATTAACAAATTGAAGGAGAAAAACCATATGATCATCTCAATAGATGCAGAGAAAGCTTTTGACAAAATTCAACACCCATTTATGATAAAAACCCTGCAGAAAGTAGGTGTAGAGGGAACTTTCCTCAATATAATAAAGGCCGTATATGACAAGCCCACAGCCAACATCATCCTCAATGGCGAAAAACTGAAAGCATTTCCACTAAGGTCAGGAACAAGACAAGGTTGCCCACTCTCACCACTCTTATTCAACATAGTTTTGGAAGTTTTAGCCACAGCAATCAGGGAAGAAAAAGAAATAAAAGGAATCCAAATCGGAAAAGAAGAAGTAAAGCTGTCATTGTTTGCAGGAGACATGATACTATACATAGAGAATCCTAAAGATGCTACCAGAAAACTATTAGAGCTAATCAATGAATTTGGTAAAGTAGCAGGATACAAAATTAATGCACAGAAATCTCTTGCATTCCTATACACCAATGATGAAAAATCTGAAAGTGAAAGAAAACACTCCCATTTACCATTGCAACAAAAAGAATAAACTATCTAGGAATAAACCTACCTAAGGAGACAAAAGACCTGTATGCAGAAAACTATAAGACACTGATGAAAGAAATTAAAGATGATACAAACAGATGGAGAGATATACCATGTTCTTGGATTGGAAGAATCAACATTGTGAAAATGACTCTACTACCCAAAGCAATCTACAGATTCAGTGCATTCCCTATCAAACTACCACTGGCATTTTTCACAGAACTAGAACAAAAAATTTCACAATTTGTATGGAAACACAAAAGACGCCGAATAGTCAAAGCAATCTTGAGAAATAAAAGCGGACCTGGAGGAATCATGCTCCCTGACTTCAGACTATATTACAAGACTACAGTAATCAAGACAGTATGGTACTGGCACAAAAACAAATATAGATCAATGGAACAGGATAGAAAGCCCAGAGATAAACCCATGCACATATGGTCACCTTATTTTTGATAAAGGAGGCAAGAGTATACAATGGAGAAAAGACAGCCTCTTCAATAAGTGGTGCTGGGAAAACTGGACAGGTACATGTCAAAGTAAGAGATTAGATCACTCCCTAACACCATACACAAAAATAAGCTCAAAATGTATTAAAGACCTAAATGTAAGGCCAGACACTATCAAACTCTTAGAGGAAAACATAGGCAGAACACTCTGTGACATAAATCATAGCAAGATCCTTTTTGACCCAC